CTAAATTCCCAAATATCTCAAATTATAGTTCTATTCTCTAATTCAGCTCTATTCTGGGGTCAAGACAAAGGCCTAAGTGCCTAGATGAAGGGCAGAGCTCGGAGGCACCTCAAAGTCCTCCGGAACAGCCATGATCTGGGCTGGAAGATTACTCAGCCATGTCCATGGTGTGTCGGGTGCATACCCGTACCCAAAACGTGTCGAACAAGGGTACGGGGGTTGCAGGACTTGAAGGGGTAACGAAGATTATCTGCCATGAAGCAAATGATTTTCGGTTTTAGTGTAAAGAAAGATTGCCAAAATCATGGAAGTCAATTAAGGAAGACTGCTAGTAAATGTTGAAGTGATTAAGTAATCTATATAAGAAAAAACTCAACCCCGTTTCAAATCAATGCTCCCATGTTATCTATCCTACTTTCCTTTGTCGTGTTAATATTTGCTGCCTATTTCCCTCATGCTCCTCCTCATCTTCTTTCTCTATTAAATTGATACCCAACATGCTATATAGCCTATTGTGTTTCCTTCCAATCTATTCCACATGCTTCGTTGTATCTTTCTTCATAAATGTGCAAACTGAAAGTGCACTCGGAAATCTAAATAATGTCTTACCTTCAAGATCTTGGGCCCCCAAGTAAATCATAGTGATGTTGACTTGATTAGGCATATCAGTGTTTGTTTTATGTGCTCTATCCAATAATGCAACTATCTAGAATTTTGACAAAAGAATTCAAAAAATGACATGTATTTCCTAATTACATTTGATACAAGATTTAGCTAATTCCAACTCATCAATCCTGCTATCTCTAAATAACTGGTTTGCACTATGAACATCCATGATAGTTAATACGCTGTTGGAGGCTATTGGAATGCTTGATTTTCAAACTTTAAAATATGCTAAGGAGAAGAATGTGTGAAAACTAAATAAGTCAGGATAAAATATCGAACTAACTCGTGGCATGGGCAGAGGCAAGAGGGAGTTACCGAAAATTGTGAGAAACTGTAATTTACTCAGGGCAAGAAATCACCCTAATTGATATGCTAGAAAATAAAAGTAGCATAATGATTAGTGGAAAATAAATGAAAGAACATACAAACGGTGTAAGCCCTTGCTTGAGAAAGATTGCGGAAGAAACAAACGGAGGATCACTCCTGCGCAATGCATGAAAACAATCAACCTGAAATGCAGGCAAATAGTCAGATAAAAGAATTATATGGGAAAAAATGTATCTCATAAGGAAATCAATACTGCTGCTTCTGATCAAATGAAAATTCAAAAAAAAAAGTATCCATAATCAACTCCCTACCAATGATTCAAAATAGAATTCAGGTATATAAAGAAATATAGACTCCTCTTTGCTGAGAACCAAGATCAGTTCCAGAATCCACATGCATGTTGCATACATTCCTCTTTGCTTCCAACGAGAAAAAAGAGAGATCCGGAACCTTCAATGCACATGAAAATAAGCAAAGCAACCAATGAGTTAAGGTAATATACTTGCAAACAAAGTATAGTGCTGCATGTAATGGCATATCCCTACAAGAAGAAGAATACATGTAAATAGACTCCAAAAATATAATAAACTGGAAGACATAAAAAACAGAATAGATGCTAGGTAACACGCAAGCCGCATTGAAAATGATCTCACTCGTTTCTTCTTTCCTTTGCAAAAGCAGGAGTACATGACGTGACCTTCTAGGGTTGGAAGTTGGAACCCAATATCCCTTTCTGAAGATCTCCTTTTCTTTTCTTTTTTTATTTTTTATCATTTATTTTTTATTTTTTTGAGAGGGTGGGAAAGACCATTAGATGAATGGGTTAAAAATTGTCATTTCACAACTTTCTATTCATATAAGTTTCTTGATGAAAAGATTAAGATGAATGTGGATCGCCAATACGAATGCTCCACCATATAGTTTGGCAGGCGGGAAGAAACTAGTTTATTCTAAGGGAACTACTAAGTGTTATCATATGACACAATGTCAAGTTGTCAAGTGTCAACCATGTTGAAACAGCAAGCACACTATCATACTTTACACAGCTTCAAAGCAATTGCAAACAAGATCATATAAGCCCACAAAATTAGAAGGTATATACACGATATAATGCTTATAAAGCTACATAACAATTACATATTTACGTGTTCATACTTCATAATTTTCTAGCTAGCATGCTAATTAGAGAAGGAAGTTACAATTAGCAAACAAGTAAACTAAATTACTAATTATTGTTTTCTTTTTATATGTTAAACATGAAAAGATGGAGAATGGATTAGCAACTAGCACGAAAGAGTCTATTACATGATGTAAATATGTAATATGTAAATTACTTTAAAAAAACAGAAGAAAGAGTCTATTACATGACGCAGTTGTCAAGCGCACACGAGGCGCGCGAGGCGCGCGCCTCGTGTGCGTGCAGCGCCCCGCCTCTAGTGCGGGGCGCAATTGTTCCAGCCCGCAGCGCCCCGCGCCTGGGGCGTGCCCGGGACGCGCGCCTCGATAACAATGCCGGTGTAAGTAACTTTAAATTTCTATATATCGATTTGAGGTCATACATGTCAATTATATTATGATCATTTAATGTGTATTTTATAAGATTTCTAATAAAAATTTATACGTGCATAATGCACATGATCAAAAGGATAAGAATTTATTGAAAAGTATGAATATCTTTCATGTATCTAAAAATTATTACTGTAACCTGCACATTAATAAGAGGATGAAATTGAGTTTAAATTTCATATAATAGTTTCATTGAGCAGTAGAGGATGTAAATAAAATAAGTTTATTTTAATTATCTTATGCATTTTCTCAGTTGTCACCTGAGGATATTTATATTAGTTTGAACTTTGAAGCAATAAAAACTATTATTACATATCTTTAATTATATGTCATATATATATAATTCTTATTCAAAATATGTCATTACCTATTTGACATTGTGTGGCATTTTTTTTCAATTATATGATTTTTAAAAGGGTTGTGCATGAAATATATAAAATTGAGAAGGAGATGAAATATGTAAAATTGAGAAGGGGATGGAGGGATGAAAATAATGGAACGTTCTAGAGAGATAAAAGAGTGTGTGTGTGTGATGTAACCCACATAAATAAATGATGTTGTTAAATGACCAAACTACCCTTCCTTTTTTCTGAAATAACCTGCCTTTAGTAAATGGAAGGAACACTAATTAATTCCTCCATGTTTTTGTACCCTCACAATGTTTTTTATATAGTAGTATAGATAAGAAATTCAATGAAGTTTTCAGTCAACTTATAAATTTCTATATATCGCATTTGAAGGGTCATACATTCCAATTATTTTAGTTGATCAATTTAATGTGATTTTTTTATAAGATTTCTAATAAAAATTTATACGTGGCATAATGCACATGGATCAAAAGGATAAGAATTATTGAAAAGTATGACATATCTTTCATGTATCTAAAAATTATTACTGTAACCTGCACATTAAATAAGAGGATGAAATTGAGCTTTAATTTCATATAATAGTTTCATGAGCAGTAGAGGATGTAATAAAATAAGTTTATTTTAATTATCTTATGCATTTTCTCAGTTTTCACCTGAGGATATTTATATTAGTTTGAACTTTGAAGCAATAAAAACTATTATTACATATCTTTAATTATATGTCATATATATATAATTCTTATTCAAAATATGTCATTACCTATTTGACATTCTGTGGCATTTTTTTTCAATTATATGATTTTAAAAGGGTTGTGGCTGAAATATATAAAATTGAGAGGAGATGCGAAATATGTAAATTGAGAAGGGGTATGGAGGGATGAAAATAATGGAACGCTTTCTAGAGAGATAAAAGAGTGTGTGTGTGTGATGTAACCCACATAAATAAATGCATGTTGTTAAATGACCAAACTACCCTTCCTTTTTTCTGAAAAACCTGCCTTTAGTAAAATGCGAAGGAACACTATTAATTCCTCCATGTTTTTGTACCCTCACAATGTTTTTCTATATAGTAGTATAGATAAGAAATTCAATGAAGTTTTCAGTCTCAGAAGCTTTATATAATATATATATATGGATATATATATATATATATATATATATTATATATATATATATATATATATATATATGATGAAAAATGGGTATGCTTGGTACCAAGCACAAATTTTATACTGTAGTGAGGTGTCATATTCTCATCCACTCATTCCAATTGCCACCCACTTCCCAACCCGTATGAATGTGGACCCCGATTTTAATGAGCGGAGGAGAGAATATGTCACATCACTACCAAGCATAAAAACTTATGCTTTGGTACCAAGCATATCCATCTCTCTCTCTTCTCTCTCTCTCTCTCTCTCTCTACTCATACTATATAATATATATATATATATATATATATATATATATATATATATATATTAATATATA